TTTTTTTTTTTTTTTTTTTTTTTGCAGTACAGGGGATTAAATCCAACGCCTTCACAGTGGGCAACATCCTCAGCCACTTTTACTTTTAAAAGTTTTTTTTGAGACAGTCTCACTATGTAGCCCAGGCTGACCTTGAACTCAAGATGATCCTGCCATCTCAGCCTTGCCATTTGCTGAGATTACAAGTATGCACCACCATGCCCAGCTTACTCTCCTTTCTATCGCCATAAAAGTGATGCAAATCTGCACAAAATTCATTCGATAATGTTAAAATGTAAAATATTTGGTCCGTGGGTTATTTGGAACTCAATTATGTGTTCCCCAAAATTCCCCTTTCAAAATACAGTGGACCCCCAAGTTAAGACTTGACATATGAACTTCTTGGGTTAATTAGGTTAATGGACCCAATTCTACCTCTTGTTATCTATAGTATGTACCCAGGTAAACATCCAGACCTCAGCTGTATTGACTTACAACCAACTTGAGTTATGACCAGCCCTTGGGAAACAATGAAGTTCATAAGTCAAGGGTCCACTGTATCTCATTACAAATATACTAGCTTTTTAAAAAATTCTTGACTCCACATTTCACGCCGGCCACCTCCTACTTTTCTTCTTTTACAATGGAACTACAAAGAGCCTCTTGTGCGTGCAGACTTCTGTCCCTTCCCTGTCTCAGATTCCAGGTCTGGTCGGTTTGGGGCCCAGTAGCCTAGGAAGAACTTGCCAGGACCCTCAGCAACCTCAGCCTTCTCCGTCCTTACTTGACCCACAGCCTGGGACACACACAGCTGCTCCCACCCTGGAGCACTGTCCCTGTGTCCAGGACCCCCTCTGGGCCTCTGTCTTACCAGTCCCCAGTGTCAGCCCGGTTTCCCACAGTTCCACAGCCCCGAGTTCCTCCCTGCTGTACATCCTGTCCCCCACGACCCCAGCCAGGCAGTTTCATCTCTTATCGAATTGCTGACAAGCCCCAAATGCACTGGGATTTCTCTAGCCACATCTCTTCCGAATTCTGACTCATATACCCCACTGTCTACTTGGCATCTCTGCTTGGAATTCAAACAGGAATCTCAAACACATCCTGACCGAAAATAAACTACAGATAGTGCTCCCATCCCACCCCCATGAGATCTCTGTTGCTGATACTGTTTATCTTGCATTTGATTTATTTCAAGACTTGGTTTCAATAGTTGCATACTGGGGGAGTGGGGTTGAGGCAGGGTCTCACTCTGTAGGTCAGGCTGGCCTTGAACTCACTATGTAGCCCAGTGTGAATTCAAATTCACAGGGATCTTCCTGCTTCAGCCTCCCAAGTGTTGGAATTACAGGTGTGCACCACATCTGGCTTTAAATTTTTATTTTTAAATAGGGTCTGGCTAAGTCATTAAATCACTCAGGCTGGGCTCCAATTTGTGATTCTCCTGTCTCAGCCTACCAGAGTGCTGGGATTATAGGCATTCACCATCACACGTGCCTTTAACCAAATTTTTGTTCACTATATGAGGATAGCTGCTGTATGAATTTCCTATGGCTGCTTAACAAACATCACAAACTGGGTGGCTTGGCACAAGAGAAATTTGTCATCTCTCAGTTACAGAGGCTGAGAGTCTGAACTCTGGGTGTCTGTTGACAGAGGCCCACTGACTCCCTAAAATGGCTCAAAATGAAGACACTTCTTGCTTCTCCCAACTTCCAGTGGCCCCCAGAGCTGCCCAGCTGGTGGCAGCTTCACGGCAACCTGTCAAATGGACATCTTCCCTTGGTGTCTGTGTCTCTTCCTGTAAGGTCCCAGTCACAATGGCCCTGCCATGGGGTGATCTCATCTTACTTCATCTGCAGCAGCACTTTGTCCAGGTAAGATGCCGTTCTTTTTGTTTGTTTTTTGTCTCACTATGTAGTTGCAACTGACCTGGAACTCACTATGTAGCCCAGATTGGTCTCGAACTCAGTGATCCTCCTGCCTCAGCCTCCCAAATGCTGGGATTATAGGTGTGGGCCATCACGCCCAGTTTAAAATGCCATTCTGATTGGGCCCAGACCCACAATAGCTGAGAACAGTTCATGGCCACTTCGCAGTCAAAGCCCTACCCTCTGAGGTCCTTGCTAAGCGGCCACTGCAGCCCTCTGACTCTGAACACCTCCTGCCTAATGTAACAGATCCACCCCCTTTGGCTTACACCACGATTAAAACAAATCTAATTCCTCTCCAGTCTTCCCTCATTAAACACTTCACAACATCCAGGCATGGTGGCACACACCTGTAGTCCCATCACTCGAGAGGCTGAGGCAGGAGGACTGCTGTGAGTTCAAGACCAGCCTGGACTACATAGTGAGATTCTTTCTCAAGAAAAAAACAAAAAGCAATTTTGTTTTCAAACAAAACACTTTTATATTTCAGCCTTAATGAGGGTCAGCCTTTTCCCCATGCAAAATAATTTCACAAATGTCCTCCTGGTAAAAGTAAAACACAGCAATGGTTGTAAAGTCCCCACCCCACCCTGTACTGAGGATCGAACTCAGGACCTTGCACTTTCGAGGCAGGTGAGGCAGGTGTGGTGCCAATGAACTAAATTCCCAGTCCTATGGTAAACTCTTAACACAAGAGAGGAAAAAAAAAGTTTTGTATGTTATCTCTGGGAATTAAAAAAAAATGTTGCAGCCAGGGGTGGTGGTGCATGAATGTAATCACAGCACTTGGGAGGCTGAGGCAGGAGGATCGCTGTGAGTTCGAGACCAGCCTGGGCTATAGAGTGAGTTCCAAGTCAGTCTTAACTACATAGTAAGACCCTGTCTCAAAAGAAAGAAAAAAAGTTACAACTGCAAATCCAACAACTTGAAAATGCTGAGAGAGCTAATAAAAATTCAATGATATCAAAGAGATTAAATTTCAAATAAGTGCCATCGCCCCTGCACAAGGCAAGCAGGAGCTCCTCTCCCAACAGACCACGGTAATTAATTGAACCAATTATGTCCCTCTCTCTGGGAATTTAGACGAAAGACCTGGAGTTCTTCGCTTACAGGGAAATAGGAACTAGAACAGCTTGTGTGGTGGTGAAAGCCTGTAATACCACATCGCTCAGGAGGCTGAAGCAGGATGATTGTACCCTGGGCTATAAGATAGCCTGGATTTCATAGCGAGATCTTGTCTCAAAGAACAAAACCAAAAACTAACAAAGTGGAAGAACAGACAAGGCAGCAAGCAGAGGCCACAGGGCAATGAGCAGCAGAACCTGTGGGGTTCATGAGCTTTCAGCTGCTTACACAGTTAAAGGGGTCAACAAGCAGAGCTACTTTAGACACAGAAGTCAGTCTCTTTTTTTAGACAAGTCTCACCTGGTGGTAGTCCAGGCTGGCCTCCAACTCACGGTGAACCTCCTGCCTCAGTTTCCCAAGGGCTAGGATTACAGTGGTGCGCCACCAGGCTTGAGTGTTTCTTCTGTTCTACTTTTTTAAAAAATAACACCCCACCAAACTAATTTTACAATCCACCAAGGAACTTAGTGCTATTAGTTCAATTACTACCGTGGATGGGGAGATCTAAATTCATAAAATAAGCATAACATTTTTTTAAATTCAATAACTACCGTGGAAGGGGGCATCTAAATTCACAAAATAAGCATAACATTTTTTTTTAAACAGGCTCTCGCTATGTAACCGAAGCTGGTCTCAAACTCAAACTCGCCCCTTCCTCCTGCCTCAGCCTCCTAAGTGCTCGGATTACAGGCACGTGCCACCACTCCCGGTCCAAATTCTTGACATTTCAAGTTAATGCTGATTCCATTCTTCCCACGGCACTTCAGCTACGGATGACGCTTAGTCACCATCTACATCAAGGCCAGAATGACTAATGCTAAAACAGTAAGACCATGATTTAAAAAAACAAAACAAAACAAAACAAACAAAAAAAAAAAAAAAACCCAAAACCCAAGAGAAGCGCTAGCCAACCTACTTGCAGGAACGCAAAGTATACGCACCTCGCGCCTTTTAAGGGCTGGGCCGGCGCGAATCCGCCAACCGCTCGGCGTCCCGCCAATCGCCGCGCCTCTCGCCGCTTGCCCCGCCCCACATCTCGTTCCGACCAATCACCACGAAGCTATTTCTGCTTCTCCCGCCCGCGCCCCAACCCTCTGGCAGCTAGAGGCGCCCCAACCTAGCTGGCGCCCAGAGGCGCTATTGCAACCGGGATATATTTTTAGCTCCCCTAGCAAGCTGCCGGCTCCTGGCTCCGCCTCCTCGTCGCCCCCAATGGGAGACGGAATTTCCGTCGCGTCACCACGCGGGCAGGTGAGAACTGTCCAATCAGCGCTCGGGGAGAACTGGCGTCATTAAAAGGCGGCGGAAGAAGGTGGGAGGGTCATGACGCAGCGAGTTTCTGTCGTGACTTTCCGGGGGCATTTCGGCGTCCCCTCTTTTTCCCTTCTGGCTCCGCCTCCTCGTCGCCCCCAATGGGAGACGGAATTTCCGTCGCGTCACCACGCGGGCAGGTGAGAACTGTCCAATCAGCGCTCGGGGAGAACTGGCGTCATTAAAAGGCGGCGGAAGAAGGTGGGAGGGTCATGACGCAGCGAGTTTCTGTCGTGACTTTCCGGGGGCATTTCGGCGTCCCCTCTTTTTCCCTTTAAAGTAAAACGTGTCCTCTACGCACCCTGGTCCCT